ACTGCAGGAGCTGCTTGTAGCATTTAGAAATTATATCGATACATTAGGCAGTGTTATCTTGGACTGCTGTATCACAAATGTTTCAGACTTCAACCTACTACTAGGTCATCACGCACTGATTTGGTGTCACAATCTGTTCTCTCGAGACTTTTTCAAGAGTGTTTGCAGAGCTCCTGCTGAGATCTGTAATGGTGCAGCACATTAATGAGCAAAAGTGAGCTCTGAGGTAGATTTCGTGGAAACATCTCATGATCAGTGGCTGCAAGCAAGAAAATAATATTGGTTGACAAATTAATACCTTTTAAAAGCACAATTTCTTCTTTCACAGTTCTCCTGCCTAAAATGGTTGCCATTATTTGAAATAGAATTTTAACCACGATACACACATTTCTAGGAAAAATACTGAAACAAGTACAAAAATATCTAAAGGTTAAAAATAAAGATAAAGAAAGGCAGAATAGTTTGTACATGATTTTTCTTCAAATTAAGGATCCTAGATCTATGAAATAGAACAGAAAAAAATTTTTTACGTCAATACATCTCTACAGTTGAAAAGTGAAAATCAAAGTTGGATGACAAAGTTAAGATTCACTTGGCAATACTGCATATTTATGGCTGTATTCCTCTTTCAGGAGTACCTTATATTCTTAAAAAAAATTAAGTGGTAGGAACTCCTTTATTTACTCCAGCTAATAGTAAAGATAGCAACCATCTATAAATTTAGGATTTGTATTCTATCCCAGCATTAACAAAAATTCTTTTGTCTGCAATATGTACTTAAAAATAACAGCAATATTTTAACATTAGAGATGCTAGCCTTTCCATATTTAGGAAACTAGCTTCCTATTATTACTCATCATATTTCCCACATCCCACCCACCCTTCAACAAAACTACACCTGTCTATCTGTTTTGCATGCCAGATTTAATCTTTTCAGAAAAAAATTATACTATAGGACAAGTGGTATTTGGGACATGGGGTTAAAATATACTCTTACTTTTTTCTAATTTTCGTTTGGGTCACTAAATATCTCCAAAATGGCTTCACCTAACTTTACACTTGACTTATCTTTCTAGATTTCAAGAAGTGTCTCACTATATGAAGAAAAAAGTTTTAAAGAGTGGTTCAAGGCAAAGAAGTTTCTTAAGGTATTTCAGGGCAAAAAAACCAGGGGAAGATACATCACTTTTGGTGATCAACTCAAGTTCTATGTTGACATGTCACTGTTATGGATGGCATTAAGTATCTGTTATTTTCAATCTTTATAATGGACCAAGTGCTGTGCTGAACAGAAAAATATTTGAATTTATTACTTTGGTTTCAGTTTAGGCAGGTGCAGAGAAAATATTTTCTTTGTTTGGACAAGTTCAGTTAAAGTTGAGTAACAGACTCAGTTGAAAGAGCAGCAAAGCCTGTTTTCCCTCTTCTCATGTATGAATAAAAACCAGGTGGGAAAGGATGAGATCTACTAATTCTAATAACTTGAAAACCATGGAGCCAGATTTTCAAAGGTATTCTAGGTGCCTTAAACATATGCACAGGCATCTAATGAGATTTCTCAAAAGCACTTATCCATATCTTTAGGCACCTTTGAAAATCTGGTCCAGAGTGACCAGGAACAATCCATCAATTCACTAACTACAATGAATACCTCCTCTTCTGCTTAATAAATCAGTTTTAAAAGCAAAATATGTTTTGACCAGCTTAGTTTTTCTTATTATCCAGCACATTTAAGACAATTAAAATAAATTTCAGTTTTCCCTTTAATAGAATTCCAATTTTCATCCAAATGCAGCTCACAAATAAGCAAAAAAAAAAAAAGTCTAGTAAATAAGTATGTCATTCGCCATCTTCTAACAAAATATAAGAGTTATGTGAATAAATGTTGAGCTACATAACTGCTTAAATAAGCCTGTATAGCTGTAGCTCATGAAAGCTTATGTTCAAATAAATTCGTTAGTCTCTAAGGTGCCACAAGTACTCCTTTTCTTTTTGTATCTTCCTAGTTCACAAAGTATCACCAAATTTGGTATAAAAGCTATATTTAGTTGCAAATCAACATGCTTTAATATAGTTAGACCATCCAATAAGATGGAACTTCTCAAGGAAAATACCTGAAAAAATACAAATGCTAAATAAGATTAAAATTGTTCATTTAAATTAATCAACCATGCCAACAGATCTCCATGACAAAAAGTCGAGCACAGGGAGAAGCAGAAGTTAAAACTAGCTCTGGACACTTGGGCAATATGTCAAATATGCAGCCTCGCCACTGAATAAGAAATAGGTGATTGATGAAGCAGTTCCATGCCTTAGATGTTTTTCTCTGCCTGTTCTGATACTGCCATGGCATCAGTTCTTGTAGAACTGCATCCTAAAACCTGAAGACACCAGATAGATCGTGATACTGAAGGAGGAGGACATGGAGTTCCAAAGACCTAATAGTGGACTTTGAGACATCATATGAGCCAGAGTATCTGAAATATTATACACACCACTCTTAAAACATGCTTGGACATTACCCAGCGGTTGCCAGTTTCTTCACTGTCTTTTTCTCCTCCACCTGGAGGAGGTTTACTAGGGAAAAATACATCTTCACAAACATGAAAACAGGAGAATACTGACAGCTTGGCAACTGGCCACAGAGATTACATCAAGAGGAGACTTTCTACCTCCACAAGTGAATCTTCCTAGCATTCTTATCCAATGGGAAGACCCAACCTGCCTAGGGACTTAGTTCACTGAGTCAGGATGTCCAGATCTGGCAGCCCATCATTAATGGGGAGAATGAATTTATCTTTCCTTGAGCTCTAGGATATTAACAGCCAGTCTCTTCTTGGCTAGCTGAAGTTTTCAATTCCAGAACCTCCATCATATATCTTAACTTCTGGAACTGTCCAAAACAGTATGATAATGAGACGAGAAATCCAAACATCTGAGTACAGAAATTAAGATTATCTTAAACTTTGCCGTCAGTGATGTCCTAGAAAAATTTGAAGATTGAAAACTATCTTATCCTCCCCATAAATGACCTCAGATTGTAAGAGCTAAAATAATTTAACAGCAACTGCACCAACACAGCCCTTCTTCACAATCATACAGCCCAATTAAAAGATTCACCTTAGCAGAGTGGAGTTTGCTATTTGTTTAGTGTCCCAATCTTGTAAGGTAATGAGGGTAGTACTCAGCATCTTGCAAAATTGGGCCTTGAGTGTCCATGAGCAGAACAATTACCCAAGTATGATTGGACAAGAACTAAAGTGTCTCCACAGGCATGCCTTCTATGACCAGATCAGGTTATATGACTTGCAGAGATAAGGTAATTTTAATACGTAGTATGGAATTTTCAAATGCTTCTGTTTCTTGATAATTAACGTTCACTATAAGTTTCCTGACTTTTTAATGATGATCTCCCAACTCCTTAACTACAACATTTTTGTAAGGCTCTTTACCCTTATAGCCTCTCAGCCTTAATAAAGTTTGAATAGGAATAACCCTATTTGCTCTTCAGTTGAGCCTTCCCAAGTACATTTCTGAAGTAAAGAGACCAATGGAAATTTTAAAAATAAATATTTTGGGCTTTCATTATATCACAAAGCAGCAAAAAGAGTCAACTTCTTTTTTTTTGGCTTTGCAGCTCATCTGATAAAAACAGAAGAATTAGAAAAACAGATATAGTGTTATAAATCATAACCAAGTTTCAATTTTTTTCAAAAGCCACTAGTGCATGTGTCCAATCATTTTCTGTCTGCTGAAGGGAAAACTCAAAAGCCAAATGTTTAGGATGGGGAAATAATTTGCACATGATGGAAGACATCAAAACTATTCTACATCTTGTGCTAGGCATATTGTGTGTTTAAGCTGTGTAGCCACATCAGAAAAGGAAGCAGTATGTTATATTAAACAGCAATCAGTAAGAGTCCAGTTAAAGCCGAACACTACTAGCAATCCCTCAAGTTACCCGACGCTTGACAACTGAGGGAGCCTGGACGTCACCGCAAGCAGCAGCCCTGGGCACTGATGCCATTCGAGGTCCTTCCTACTCCAGGGTCGCTCGGACCACAAAGCAGCGCCATTAGCTCCCAGCGCCCTTCGCCCCAAAGGCTCCCCATCACCGCTTTACAGGCAAGAGGGTCTCAAATCAAAGTTTCACATCCTCCCCACCCCCCGGACAATGGGCATCCTGTGCACGGCACCCTGCTGCGCCCGGCCCACGACGACGCGGAGGGGCTACCCAGGCACCGCATCGCCCACCCGCCGCGAACCTACACCTCTCCCGCCAATGGCGAGGATCCCCCGAGCAGCCGGCCCCGTCTCCGGGCGCAGCCGGGGCGAAAAAGGGGAAAGCACACGACGACCCCCCCACTCTTCCCCCTGGGGCCCGCCGCGCTGGGAGCCGGGCGGGGGCAGCCCGCTGCCTCCTCCCCGCGCTGGCGGCTGTTATTGCCGGACTGTTCCGGTGCCCCTCGCAGCTGCCACGCCGGGCGGGGCCGCACCGAGAGCCCCGGGGGCCGCACCCAGGCCACAGGCCGCACAGAGCCCGACACGGCAGCGGCGCGGGGGCCTCCCAGCCAGGGAGCATCGCCAGGGGGCCCTGGGCAGAGCCCGGGGGCTACTCCCCAGAACCGCTCGCACGGCACAGGCCGCGGCGGAGCGGACGCTGCGCGAAGGCAGGTCCGCAGTCTCCTTTCTCCTTCCCTCCCGTGGGAGGGGGGACGAACGCAGCCGCCGTGTCCCCCTCCCGCGCCATTTGCCCGGACAAACCTCCGGCCGCCGATTCCGCTTCAGCCTCAGCGCCCGCGGGGAAGGATCCGGTCAAACCCGGGCTGCGGACGGAGGCGGTCGCGCGCGCGTTCGTTCTCACCTCCTCCCTCAACGGCCGTTAAGATCGGCGGCGCACGCCCCCGCCATCATGCGCGCGCTCGGCTGTGGGCGGCAGGGAACTCGAGCCGCGCTCCCACTGTCCCGCCCTCCTCACGCACTTCCGTTCCTCGCGCACATGCGCGAGAGAAGAACCACCCCATCCCATCCCTTTCGCGCAGGCGCTGTTTCTCACGCGCGCCAGGCTGGGACCCAGGCGCGCAGCGCTACTGTTGACCTCCGGAAACCGACTGCTTTTGGGAGACTGGGCAGAAGCAGGGAGATGCGGGGAGGTCATTGCGGGGGTTGCTGGGGGGGGAGGAGGTCACAAGAAGGGACTAGTGCGCCTGCGCTCAAATCAAACCGGCGGGCGGGGTAAGGCGGAGAGCGCCCCCTGCTGGCAAACAGCGCCCCCTGCAGCCTGTAGCAAGCGCGTGACGCTGAGGTTCGCTTCGATTCCCGCCCTCTGGCGGGGGCGCTCCCCGCCGGGCTCAGTCCCCATCCTCCAGCCCTGCCTGGGCGTTTGGCGGAGCCGTCTCCGCGCTGCTTCCTCCCCCGCTCCTCGCTTGTCTGGTGCGGGCACATGATGCCGCAGAGGGAAGGCGGGAACCTACAGGGGAGCGATAGCTGGGGTGTCCTGGAGAGAGGAGGCAAGGCACCTGCAGTGATGGCCCAAGGATGAAAAGATCATGAACTGGGCTTTAAAACCGGCCGATTTTTCAAAATAATAAATGTTCGGTGCTCTGTGTCTACCCTCTGGGGTTTGAGCCTTCAGGCTTCACATTTTCCAGCTTTCTTTTCTGCCCAGAGGGGGGTCAGCGATTTACTTTGGAAAACGAAATGGAAGCAGAGAGTCTCTTGCATGATCACATGGCTCCAGGAGTTGGGGCTTAAAAAATATCCTGAGACTTGTGATCAAAACAGCTGGAAACACTGGAACTAAGGGACAGAACAAGCCAATGGGAAGGTGTGAGGAGAGTGAAATCATCGTTCCTGCCCATACAAGAGCTCATTTCATGACTGGGGCCACTTTGGGGGAAACAGAGCTGACCACCATAGTGTGAGGAGACAAGTTAAAAAAAGTAGGGAGAAAGTTCCCTACTTAGATATAGGCTTTGTCTAGACTGGAACCTGAAAGGTAAAAGTTGTCATTCAGAGGTGTGAAACTTCTTACCCCTCTTCCCCCCCACCCCAACAACAAAAGTTTTGCCAACGAAAAGGGCCAGTGTGAACTGACAGGAGAGCAGTCCTGCCAACAAAGCTACCACTGCTCTTTGGGGGTGGCAGTTTTTTGTCAGCGGGAGAGCTCTCTCCTGCTGACAGACTGGCTACACTGTATGCCTTTTAGCGGCACAGCTGTGTCACCAAAAGGTGGGTAGTGTAGACATAGCCATAGAGACTCCAATTTATCCATATCTCTCCCTCCTCACATCATGCTTCTCTTTTTTCTCTCATTGTGCCTGCCAAAAATAATAGGAGCTCTGTGATTCACTGGTATGTCTCAATGAAGTGACAGTTAAAATTCCCACATTTTTAGAGACTTTGGATTTGGATCCCAATCATTTTTCTATCATTAATTTTCATACATTTCAAGTGTTGGAGTATATTTTGTTGGAGCAGACACACCTCTTGCTTAAGCAGGTAGGATGTGATTTTCAGGTGTCTAATTCCCTGTGTTGACATATAAAACCACTAGTCTCTTACTTTTGTTAGTATGAACAGTGACCAATAAAATCAACAAATAAAATTTGACACAAATGTTTTTTATGCTTTCTGAGGACTTTTTTTCACAAAAAGATTCTGTTTTGAACTACAACTTTAAGTTCAGGATTGATCATATTTTGTTTTTGCCTGTGATCTACATCAGTTAGTTCACAATTCTTATACATATTGAAAATAAAATGCATGGAGGTGTTTGCAGGATTTGGGTACTGTTACCTGGAGTCTTCTGCCTGTGGGTTGGAACACTTGCTGCTCTTCCTGCTCCCTCCATTGGCTACCACTCCCATTGATTGATGGAAAAGGTCCCTCGATCACTATTAAATGAGCCGCAGGTGGTGAAGGGAGTGGAAAGTGGTAGTTGTGTTCCATAAACAAGGTGAGGTGAAGGTGGGGTTAGTCTTTTGCTGGGCTGTAAGCAGCAGCATGGACCTTAGTTTTGTGAGGACTTTGGTGGGGGAGGAATAGCTCACCTTTGTAGGGCTTGCTTTCTTCAAAGTTCAAACTAGCTGTTTGAGTGTCTGGTCTTGAAGAGTGGGTGCAGTAAGAGTGCAGTAGGTTCATGGTGGCTAGTTAATCTGTGTTGAAACTGTGTTCTAGATGGAATCTGAAGAAAAGAGGACTCTGCCCTGAGTGCTTTTCTTTCTCCTGAGGAGTGAGCTGTGTACCAATCTGTAACAGGTTGTTGGTTCAACTTTTATTGTCATTTACTTTTACGAAGTCTTTAGCTCATCAAAATGTTTGCCTCACTTCATACCAGCTAGTGCCAATTGTCTTACTTTCTAACCCCTCTTTTACCAGTTGTAAGTTAATTGTGGACAGCAAGGTGCTTCTTGTGCAGGTTGTTTCAGAGGGATCTGGTGGTATATAATTTATAAGAAGGCTTAACTCTGCTCATCTAGAAAAGAGAAAAATTCTGTTGTGGTTTTGTTTTGGCTTCTCTAGATTCCAGGGTCTTTTTTTTTAAGAGTGGATGAAGTGGGTTTTTTTGCTTTTGTTGTGTGTTGGGGGTGTTTGTTTTTTTTTTTTTGGTTATATGCTCCTAAGTGGGGTGCATAAAGACTGTCTTGATTTTTGTCATTTGGCTTCCTAGTAAGACAAATGACAGCTGAGTGCCAAACTTCTTGGCTTGATAGAAAAATCAGGTTTCCTATCTCTAGATATTACTGTGGACTTTGTATCTTTGCCCCTAATGGGGGCAGAAATGAAGGCAAGTAGAAAATTTTCAAGATGGAGTTGCACGGGTGTAGGAGAATATTTTATTTTTTTTAATTTGGACACTTTAGTCTGTTCATCCCTGCAATACTGTGACTTGTTTAGAAGTGTGGGATCTGACATGTCCCTTGGCACTTTTTTAAAGTGGCAAATCCTGATCACTCTTTGTCTTTCAGCTTAAAAAATGAACACTGCTCCAGCTTCAGAAAATGGACCATATTCCACAAACCACACAAGACCCTTTTTTTATGCGCAGCCAACAGCACAACAACCTTTCCCAAATCCATGGTACCTCAGTCATGTATATAATCCATACTGCGTACCTGCCCCAGGTAAGGCAAAATAGAGCCATCTGAGGAAAATATGCTTTTAAAATTACTACCCGAGTGAAGGAAATGCAAATTTTATATTAAAGCACTTTTCATCTGTTGTGTAACTTTTGTATTTCCCCTAATATCATGGAGGCTAGAATTAGTGTATAAACTAAAGGCATCTCTCTTAAAATGTGCTCTCCTTGTCTGTTTGTTCAGCTATATTGTAAACTGGTTTTTGATGTCTGTATCATGAGTGGGACAACACCAAATGAACTGGACAAGAAGAGTAAGTTTCCTAGGAAGAGTCTGGTAAACAGAAGCAGGCAGCTTCAGCAATTGACAACAATAGGAAAGCCCTTTTATAATGGGGATCACTACTATATCATTTGTCTATGAAGAATGTTGTGTAAAATCAGTTTGGCTAACTTAAGTCAAGGCAAAAACTTTGACATAACTCAGAGCTGAACTTGTAAGATAGTCCTGGTTTTGAAACCTTAATGGATATTGAATGAGTACCCTTGTGTGGTAAGTGCCTGTTCTTATTTACAGTTTGTGGAGAATGGGCGTTGATGAACAGACTGACTTGCCCGAGGTCCTACAGGAAGAGTGTGGCAGAGCTGAAATAGAAACTGTCAGTCAACTTCCAGTCTCCAACCAGTTTCATGTTTGGGACACTTCTCTCACTGTGGGGCCTGTTAAAAGGTTCCATGCCAAAGCCTGCATTGTCAGGGATTTTAAGTGGAGGAAAATGTCACTTGAGCATTGTCTGGGAGTGTCTACTAAGATTTTTAGCTTAAAAACTAAACTACTGCTTTGACATCCTATCAGAAGTATGACCTCATAATGCACATTCTCCCTAATAGGCACAGGGACTACTGTTGTGGGATATTGACTGCTTGCTATTGGGACAACTTAGGGCTCAAGAGAAACTGCAAATGCTTCATTGAATTGTACAGCACAATCCTCCAAAAGTCCATTGCTTTAAGCTAATGAAAAATGGGGGGACTATATGGAGGCTTCTAAAAACTGAGTGGGATTTTTTTAAATATCCTGTGTACTGTAATAGCAGGGCAAAGGGAGAGTTGAGAATGTTATGCCTGAAGCTTAGCTTCACTTGCCTTGTGCATTTAGTTATTTCAGTCTTGTTTCTAGTAATTAAGTATAAATCTGACTCCATAAGAGGCTTTCAGTAGCTGTTTTTATTAGTATTGATGGCTTTCTGATTAGTCTTGGCTAATATGAGACTGCATAGTTTCAAATAGAAACTTCTAGTGAAGATCAGATCTTATTAAAGTGCTCATAACATACTTTAAGAGTACATACTATTGCCCAATAAGTGCTTAGCAATGCACCTATTAATTACATTTCTAACTGTAGTTAGAGATGTTCTTAAAAGGCATTCAATAGACAATAACTTAATAGATAAAAGCTCCAGCAGTTTGGATGGAAAATTTAAATCTTATGCTTCAGGAATTAGGAAGAAATGTAACCTATATGCATATTACCCTGTAATTGCAACTTATGGAGTTCTTGCACTCTCCTCTTAAGTATTTGGTACTAGACAATGTTGGAGGTGGGATATTTGACTAGATAGCCCACTGATCTGAGCTAGCATGGCAGTTCCTATGTACCTAATGAATTCGGATGACTTTCAGCTTTTATTTCAGAAGATAGTGCTGTTTATGTAGACAAATGCATCTCTCTCTCCTTTTTCCCTCTTTAATATCTGTAGGTTTCAGAAGTGGAAATCCATATTTTCCATTTTATTCTGTTGCACTACATGAGTACCCTGGATATCTTGTTCCACAACATCCCATGCACACAAGAGTTAACAGAAGACCTTATTTTAATGTTCCCCCACCCTCTCCTCTGTTTTATCATGCAACAAGGTTTAGACATTATAGTGGCCCTGGGAAAAAAACAGTGACCAAAGAAACACAGACTGATCCTAGACAGCCTGAAAACAAACCAAAAAAGCATCAGGATCTCCGTACAGAAACGAAAGGCTGTGAAGCAGGAAATATGGCCTGTGTTTCTTCTGGTAAGAGTACAGAAACTGAAAGTACTTCAGTGAAACAAGATTCATCTGGATCTTCTCTTGTGCCAGAAAGAGACCTTCAAAATAAGGGGTCTTCCAGCTCTTCACAGTATAGAAACATTCCTTCAGGAAGCTATGCTTTTGAGAAAGAAGAGGTCAGAATAGAGTATGGAAATGGCTCTCCTGCAATTCAGCTATGGAAGTCCTTTAAGGAAACTATTCCTCTGTATGATGTGGCAAGTGGTAAACCAGTCCCAGAGAATATTGTGCAACGTGACTTGTTTTCTGTTAGCTCTTGTGAAGGGGTAATATATAGTCCTCATGAAGGGGAGGAATTGGTGTCATGCACTTCTTATTCAGATGAACGAAAAACTGCTCTCTCTTTGAAGCAGAGTGGTGACGATGGGCAGGAAAAAGAGGTCCAAAATAATGAAGTAAAACTAGAAGCAGAAAAGCAGGAAAATACAAGCCAAAGGGTAAAATCTTCTCTAAATGAAGCCAGGGCAGTGCAAATTGCTGAGCTGGCCAGAACTGTTTGTAACGATCAGCTAGTGGCAAGGCAGGACACACTTTTTAAAAAATCTAGTATGAAAAGATCTGCTTCAAAAACTTCTGAAGAGGAGTCCAACCTTGTTCAGCAAACAGGATTATTTCCATCTAGTACAGAAATAACACATGACTCAAGTCCACCGCAGAAAAAGCTAAATCAGAGCCACAGTTCAACCAATGTAACGGATAAAAGCTTATGGTGTGAAGAATCCATGGAGAAGTATGTTCCTTCTAACAACTGGCTAGCTTGCGTGGATGACATGGACACTAACTACAACTATAATATTTGTTTGCCACAAAGGAATCGTCAAAGTGTACTCAGTTTGTCTTCTGATGAAATGTCTTCTAAAGATGAAGGATCATCAACTGATGATGATGTACCAGTGTCTTATTTTGTCCCTGACTATGTGCTTCAGAAGAGCATGTACGCTTTCCAAAAAAGTACAGAGGGCTCAGAGAAAGAGAAAATTAAAAGTGGTGGCTCCCTTAATGAAGATGAAGTGGTAGGAAGGGAGCAGACCAATATTGTCCATAGCCAGAACTTCAAAAGCTGTTCAGAAGTGAAGATTAAAAAGATGGCCAGCAAAGGTAGAAAGATTGGGGTCCTCCCTAGATCTTCTGGTCAGAAGAAAATCTACTCCCTAAAGAAAAAAGCTGCTAAGAGTTTGTCTCTGTCAGAGGCTGAAGACTCTGAAGAATACTTTGTGGCAGAGGAAGAGGGTGACAGTGAGGATGAAGTTGAATATTTCGTTCAAGAAGCCACTCCATATGGACCCTTGATCCCTGATAAAGGCAGTTTCTATAGACAGATTGGACAGAGGGTGCTTTGGAAACCACCTAAAAATGCCATACCAGCTCACTTGATTAGCTGGCCTGCTCGGGAGAAAATAAAAACTAAGAGTGGGTTCTGTGAAAGCACTGGTCTGGCTTATAAATCAGGTGAGAAGGATCAGGATGAGGTTGCGTACAGTGATTACGGGTACTATGGAAAAAAGAGGCTTACAGCAAAACAAGAGGGATCTGAGCATCCGAGAACTTCACAGAGGTCTTCAAGAGGTGAGTTAATATGACTGGGATAAAAGTGCTGTGGGATCATAATTCAGAATACTTTGCAGCATGTGTTAACGCTCTAATTCTAAGTGCTAGCTGTATCCCTAAAACTGTGAAGGCTAAGAAAGAGAAAATGCTGTCGCTTTCCTAAGTGACTCTTAGAGAATTGTAGCACTTCTGGCCTTTAAAGAACTATAGTGAACCTACTAAAACAAAAGAAAGTATTTTTTTTTCCACACAATGCAGTCTGTGGAACTCTTTGCCAGAGGATGTTCTGAAGGCCAAAACTATAACAGGGTTAAAAAAGAACTAGATAAGTTCATGGAGGATAGGTCCATCAATGGGTATTAGCCAGGATGGGCAGGGATGTTGTCCCTAGCCCAGTTGTGGGCAACCTGCAGCCCACAGGCTGCACTCGCCCCCTCAGGGTAATCCACTGGCAGGCTGCCCACAGCTCCCAGTGGCCGCAGTTCACCGTTTCCTGCCAATGGGAGCTGTGGGCAGCCATACAAATGTAAACCAACTCTCTGGCAGCCCACCAGCAGATTACCCTGACGGGGCTGTGTGTGGACGGCAGGTTGCCCACCACTGCCCTAGCCTCTGTTTGCCAGAAGCTGGGAATAGGCGACGGGATGGATCATTTGATGATTACCTGTTATGTTCATTCCCTCTGGGCCCTGGCATTGGCTACTGTCAGAAGACCGGATACTGGGCTAGATGGACCTTTGGTCTCGCGCAGTGGAGCCACTCTTACGTTCTTATGTACTATTTTTGCCTTGTGCATAGCCAGCAAACTTTTGGCTAAGGCTAAATTTGAAATCTTTAATATTACTAGACAGAGTAGAACTTTTTTTTTACACCCCAGGTTGAGCTTCAAGTGATGTCAGCTAGTAAACACATAACACTGGCTTGATCCCCATTTAATCTTTTTGACTTGGATAATATACTTGTTAAATAAACAAACAAGTTAAGTTTATTGAAAGACATTCTTGTTTACCACTGTCAAATGGCATCTTGGAAATATAATCTCTTAAATTTGTGTAAACACTGGCTACCATACCATTCCTCCATGTTGCAAAATGGGCTTAGCTACGGTGGGGGAACTTTCTTATAAATTGATGACACAAGTGGATATAAACATGTTTCCTGTATCTATAGTAGGGGAGTAGAGGCCACTCAAATCCATGTGCTCCCCCTCAGATTTGGCCCAACTGTTCCTCTGTAATGACTACAGTTGAGAGGTGGAGAATGGCCAGGACAGATTTGAGTGAGTGGTGGTGTAGTCTGGCGCACACCGGTTTATAATGCAACTCAGGTTTGGCTCAGCCACCCCTCTGTTATGACAGAGAGGTGTCTGGGCCAAGTCTGCTGCCCTCAGCAGTTGCTTAGCTTGCTTAAAACTAGAGGAACGTCTGCAGGAGAACCAAAATATTGACACTTCAACAAGTTAGATTAAAAAGGAAGCAGTAGTTTATCTGAACATCACTAAATAGTTCTAGTACACTTCTAAAAACCTAATTTAAAGTTTTGCTAAACTCCTCTTGGCCTGGGAGAGAATATTTCCTTTAGCTAGAAACAAAGACAAAGTCAGCTTCAGATAACTGAGCTCCTGTGACTAGCTAGTGATCAGTCTATTAATTACAGTAATTCTGTTCTTGCTTTTTTCAAAAGCATGTCCATAAATGGCCATGATGTACTAGTATAATCAAGCAGTAACTGGTTCCATGTGAGGTTTTGCAGCTCTTTCACAATATCTATCAAATTTGGTAATACGCAAAGGTACAATATGATAAACATGCATATTGAGTCTAATGAACAACATTTTAAAACAACATAAACTGCTGCCCAGCTATCAGTGATTGGTATCCATATAAATATTAGATTAAATTTTTTTTAAAAAAAAAGCATCTTCAAATACTGGCTTCAGTGAACTACACATTTTGCCTCTGTATTGTAGGTCAACTGTAAAGTCAGTATGGTAATGTTGCTTATAGTAGATGCTTATTGATATTATTCAAATGTTTTACTATGTTGGTTTTAATTAGTAAGGTTACTAAAGGAAAACGGGGCGATGACAGCTGATGAGTACTGGATTAGAAGTGGCGCTAAACCCAAATTTGCCAGCCTGATTCATGGTAGCCTATCACCCCCAACCAAAAGCAAACAACAAGGTACAGCTGATTTCTTGTCACATCTCAGATCCTCTTCCCTTAAATATTCAAATAAACTGTTTTCAGCAGAATACTTTGCTATTTGGGTGGGATCTTTAACTATTGCTTTGAAGGAAATACATGTTTGTTTGTGTTCTTGCCACTCTGTGATGTGGCTCAGATAATCTATAAATCTGGCTGCTCTGAAGGAGGAGGAGTCTGCATATAGAGAGAGTTGGGGTGGTTGTAGTGGACAAAACTTTTTTTCATTTTAAAGCTACAGCAGTATATCTTAATGTGGCAAGAAATGATGCCTTGTATCAGTGCAGACTTTACTAGGACAATGTATTGCTACATAGTTAGATACTCTATAAACCCTGTCCTAACTAGACGCAACTCTTCTGTGGACCCTCAGCAGCAGTTTATTACTCTCTTGTCAGGTGAACTTTACAGCTAAACCTCATGTTAGTCTATGCAGAGAGAATGCTTTTAGAGAATGTTGGCTATAGCTGTTGATCCACGCTAATTGTATAGTGTGGCAGAAGAGTGTGTAGAGAAGAGAGAGAATCCTTGCTTCAGTAAAGAGAGTAAAAGTTATTAAATACTATGAACTTAAGTGAACCTGTTTTAAGTGAAAATTAAATATTTTGAATTGCTTGAAAAAGTAATGCTACTTTTATTTGGTCATTCAGGTAATCTGTTTTTGGATAAACCAAAAAGGAAAAAGATAGGCAAACCCCCTTACAAACGTAGAGATACAAGATGTGAGGCAGAAGACATTCAAGTGTGGGAAATGCCTAAACCCAGTGCACGCAAAGGTTAGCATACTATTACATGCCATAAACACTAGATGTGTTCTAGCAGTAACTCTAAGCTTACTGGTGTGGTAGTTTTTTTGGTTTTGTTCTCCCCTCCCCCTCTTGGATTACAGTAACTCCTCACTTAATGTCCTCCTGCTTAATGTTGTTTCAAAGTTATGTCGCTGCTCAATTAGGGAACATGCTCGTTTTAAAGTTGTGCGATGCTCCCTTATAACATCATTTGGCTGCCTGCTCTGTCCCTGGCTGGTAAGATTTTGTGGAAGAACAGCTACTTCATAAGGAAGCATTGCACAGGTTCCTCTTAGCCGCTGCCGCCCCCCTCCCTCATAGTGCTTCCCCCACCACCAAACAACTGCTTGGCAGCACTTAGGACTTTGGTGCGGGAGGGAAGGAGCAGGGATGCAGCATGCTCCTGAGTGGAGGTGGGAAGAGTTGGGTCTGGAGCATGCTCTCTCCTCTCCTCTCCTCTCCCCTCCCCCCCCCGCCCCCCCCGGGAAAGTCAGTGCCTGTTCTTCTCTGGGTAAGCCGCTGCTGCGAAGGTGCTTCCTAGTGTTTTTGCCTGCAGCAGGCTGTGCCTATGTGGGGTAAGCCAGGGCACTTCCCAACTATAGTACAGTACTGTACAGTATACAATGCCTTTTGTCTGCCCCCAAAAAAGTTCCTTGGAACCTAACACCCCACATTTACATTAAATCTTATGGGAAAATTGATTAGCTTAACATCGTTTCACTTAAACTTGCATTTTTCAGGAACATAACTACAAGTGAGGAGTTACTGTATCTACATTCAAATCTTGAGGACCTTTTTAGATACTCCTTTACACACATTCCTTGGTCATAAAAAAACCTTTTTGACCCCATCACTCTCTACTACAGAGTATCTTTCCCTCCTTAACTAGAGGCTTCCAAATTTTTATTTTAAAAAACAATGGTTGGCATTTCATAGCACACTAATGGTACTATAGCTGCGTGTGGTTGGTTTTTTTGTTTTGTTTTTTTAAAAATCCAAAGCTCTGGAGCAGGGCCTCTTATTGTTAAGACAAAATAGAGAGGTAACAAACTCAAGTGATGATTAAGTTGGCATATGTCTTAATTCCAAGGTCTTTAGTTTAACACTAATGTTCTTATGTTACTTTATGAAAGCATTGTGAGTTAAGAGTAGAGGTCCATGGTTATTGGAAGCTAGCTCAAAGATGTGAAGCTCTCCTATGGGACACTTGGTCGGGGAGAGCATAGTTGCCTGACCTAGTGGAGGAAGAAGACTGTTCATGTGCAGGGAATAGCATGAAGGAAAAAAACTCTCCCACCTGAAACTGGTTTTCCACAATAAAGCCTCCTGATGTGAACAGTATAAACCAATGGAGTATTTGAATCTGCATACAGCCTGAAACTCTAGCTCAAAGGTGTAAGTGCTCGACTAATCCAAATCAGTGTGGTCCCAAAGCCTAACCATGAGTTAAGATGTGCACCGTGATATTTCACTCCTGATCTTTTTAGGAGGAGCATTCTCTGTCAATTTGCATGTTCCAAACTGCCTCCTGTATTTCCCTGCTACATGTTTCCAGCCTGCTGCCTTCAGTTTCTGCAATGCATTTATGTATTCCTGATCATCCTGCACCAAGATTAAGGCACAAAATAAGAAAACTTAATATCAAACCAGTAATGCAAGGAATTTTATATTAACTGATTATTTTAAAGATAGTTTGCTGAATATTTTTAACCAATTTCCAATCTTCTGTACTAGTGCTATGCAATCCAGGATCTGTGCTGCAGAACCTAGGTCTGCAGAGCTGGTGGGACTTCAGTATGTCTCAAACTCCTAGTTTACTACCTGCAATAGTATACCTCACTTGCTAGTTGCCTATTTTTAAAGGAAGACTTTACAACAAGCATCCATGAAGGGAAAGTGCATATGTTACAAACAATCTCTCAATTCTTTTTTTTAGGGTGTGGATCAAAGAGGTCTCTCTACAAAAGAAGATAATCTGACTATTACAAATGAAGGGGGGAAATATGATTATTGTTACAAATGCTGGGGGAAGAACACAAACATACTGAGGTTGCATGTCTCTTAATCTTTCAAATGAGTCCATCAGTAGCTTTTTTTTTTGTATAAATCTTTCTAAGCTACTATGCACAGTTAAAGGGCAAGATGTAACACGGTAAAGAGTTGAAGTACACTATATTAAATAAAAGGAACACTTGAAATAAAGCACTCTAAAGTGTACATAAGCACACTTGCTTAAAAGCAATAAAGCTAACAGAATTGCACTGATGTATGGGTTTTCTTTCCTGAATACTGAAGTAAAACCTTAAGGTAGGGATGGATTGTCTGTACTGGTAAGCAACTGCACTTACCTGCCTACCTTCCTACCATATTGTTCTAAACTCTGTGCTAACTGCAAAGCTTGTTTTTGTAACCCTAAATTCAATGCTGCTTTTCAGAAGTCAGGACTTCAGGTAATGAAATTTCTCTTTCTTCAGAGAATAGAACAGAGGGGATGATTGTCAGTGTTCTTTCAGGAGTACAGCCATGACTTTCCCTGAGGTCCTCTCTTCTGTAGGAAAACTAGATGAAGGATTAATCTTCAGAGGAGAATACTAATGACAAAACAACTCTTCAGAATTCCTGAACCAAAGAATTTTAATATACAGTAAATAATTCCATATCCCTTGGCTGCTTTATGTAATGATAACCTGGCAGATGTGGAGACTGTAGTGCTCTAACAGTTAAGTGATCCCCAGCACTCTGGTTTTAAGCAACTTCTTCAGCTGTCTTAGCATATCCACTGCTGCAGTTATCTGTCTCATATGTCCACTACATTTAATGCTGAATTTGGGTACACCTGACCTGGCCTAATACCACTTTACCTCTTAAATTCTCTTAGAATCATAGAATATAAGGGTTGGAAGGGACCCCAGAAGGTCATCTAGTCCAACCCCCTGCTCAAAGCAGGACCAATTCCCAGTTAAATCATCCCAGCCAGGGCTTTGTCAAGCCTGACCTTAAAAACCTCTAAGGAAGGAGATTCTACCACCTCCCTAGGTAACGCATTCCAGTGTTTCACCACCCTCATAGTGAAAAAGTTTTTCCTAATATCCAATCTAAACCTCCCCCACTGCAGCTTGAGACCATTACTCCTCGTTCTGTCATCTGATACCATTGAGAACAGTCTAGAGCCATCCTCTTTGGAACCCCCTTTCAGGTAGTTGAAAACAGCTATCAAATCCCCCCTCATTCTTCTCTTCTGCAGGCTAAACAATCCCAGCTCCCTCAGCCTCTCCTCATAACTCATGTGTTCCAGACCCCTAATCATTTTTGTTGCCCTTCGCTGGACTCTCTCCAATTTATCCACATCCTTCTTGAAGTGTGGGGCCCAAAACTGGACACAGTACTCCAGATGAGGCCTCACCAATGTCGAATAGAGGGGAACGATCACGTCCCTCGATCTGCTCGCTATGCCCCTACTTATACATCCCAAAATGCCATTGGCCTTCTTGGCAACAAGGGCACACTGCTGACTCATATCCAGCTTCTCGTCCACTGTCACCCCTAGGTCCTTTTCCGCAGAACTGCTGCCTAGCCATTCGGTCCCTAGTCTGTAGCTGTGCATTGGGTTCTTCCGTCCTAAGTGCAGGACCCTGCACTTATCCTTATTGAACCTCATCAGATTTCTTTTGGCCCAATCCTCCAATTTGTCTAGGTCCTTCTGTATCCTATCCCTCCCCTCCAGCGTATCTACCACTCCTCCCAGTTTAGTATCATCCGCAAATTTGCTGAGAGTGCAATCCACACCATCCTCCAGATCATTTATGAAGATATTGAACAAAACCGGCCCCAGGACCGACCCTTGGGGCACTCCACTTGATACCAGCTGCCAACTAGACATGGAGCCATTGATCACTACCCGTTGAGCCCGACAATCTAGCCAGCTTTCTACCCACCTTGTAGTGCATTCATCCAGCCCATACTTCCTTAACTTGCTGACAAGAATACTGTGGGAGACCGTGTCAAAAGCTTTGCTAAAGTCAAGAAACAATACATCCACTGCTTTCCCTTCATCCACAGAACCAGTAATCTCATCATAGAAGGCGATTAGATTAGTCAGGCATGACCTTCCCTTGGTGAATCCATGCTGGCTGTTCCTGATCACTTTCCTCTCATGCAAGTGCTTCAGGATTGATTCTTTGAGGACCTGCTCCATGATTTTTCCAGGGACTGAAGTGAGGCTGACTGGCCTGTAGTTCCCAGGATCCTCCTTCTTCCCTTTTTTAAAGATTGGCACTACATTAGCCTTGTTATCCTAAAAATGACTTAATTCTGGCATCGCTGTAAAATGCCATGTCCCTATACATGTACTCCAAGTAGCTTCCCTGCATGTTAAAATACCTATCTCTGAACGGTCTTGGTGGCAGTCTGTATGGGAATAAAACAAATTACTGGGGTACTTCAAAACATCTCTGATGCAGTAGATTCTGGGAGCTGAGTAGATACATGTGGAAAAGAGATGCAGAGGGCCTTCCAATTTAAATGGCTCAGAACTGTGCTAGTGTGGCTATGGACCAAAATTGCAGCAGTTCAGAATAAAGCCATTATGAAGTACACCCTGTCAAACTAGATGTTCCTCTACAGCAGTGGTTCCCAAATTAATTCTACTGGTGCCCCTTTCACATAGAAAGCCTCTGAGTACAACCCCCCCACCCCATAAATTAAAAACTCTTGTCTATATATTTAACACCATTATAAATGCCGGAGGAAGAGCAAGGTTTGGGGTGAAGGCTGACAGCTTGTGAACCCCCCTCCATGTAATAATCTCACAACCCCCAGTTTGAGAACCCCTGTTCTACAGCTTTCTGAAGCGTATCTGATTCAGCTAGGTACCTAACGAGCTTGGTGTGTCTGTTAAATCACCTTGTTGACTCTAGTGTCAGAAAATCAGTTGAACAGCCTGTTTGTACAGACTTCTCTGTACTGCCATTTTAGGCAGTAGTGACTCAGATACAGGCTTATAACTATTGCTTTGTTGCATTTTACTTTTGGGGACTTCAACAGCCTATGCAAGAAACCCTACACGTGTAGGACCGCTGAAGGAAAAAAATCCCCTTTTTTGGCAAAGGAGGATCAAACAGACCCCTGAGATTCCATCATTGGATATCTTGTTGGACAGACTTGTTGCCTGACTCAATTTCTAAAATCTATGGGTTGCTAGCTAAATCTTCTGTCAGACGGTGGGTGGGGTATAATCACCAAATCTTATGGCAGTGGTGGCTTGACATGTCAAATTTGAATTCTGCATTTTCACATTCAGAATGTAGAATTCTTATGTATATTTGGTATTATATAATTTCTCCCACTTCAATGTTGATTAAGAATTGTTTGTTCTTAGCAGCTGGGTGAAAAGATCAAACTACAGCTGTTTCAATTAAATACAGAGAATGTAAGAACCACTTACAAAAATACTCTTTGCATGCTGACTATCGATCTGCTAAGGAAAGACAGGTGTATGTAAGACACTAAGTTCTTCCACAGCACATATTCTCTGTAGCTGGTTTGTTGTGCTAGCTGGCTATTAATCAACTACTTTGGAATGTCAAAAGTCATCTCTGACCTCTCACTGAATTTTCAGTAGCTTGTTATGCTCGAATCTTGTCAGTGCATACAGAACATAGATATCCCTGCTCCAAACATCTTTGTCTTCTCTACAGCTCTCTAGTAGTGCCACAACAGGTCAGGAGGAAAAAATATTTAACTAAATAATCAGACCAGGAAGTTTGCTAGGATGACTCATAGCTCTATGAGCAGGTAAACATGTTATAGCTACACTCCTCTTGATTTGTCTAGTCATGCAAATGTTTCATAATTCTAGCACTCGTAAGTAACATGATAAACCAGAATCTACATGCACTGGAGGCAAGAAACTTGTTAAAAGCTTCAGTCTCTGAAGTAAATAATTACCAAGATGTCAAGTGCCTTAAATAAGTAAATGGTTAATCAAAGGTAGATGCTGGTTTCTCAGTTTAACACTTTATGGAACAATTCAATTGTTGTTGGTTTTTTTCCTCCTCCCGAGGCTAGAAAGGACCATTAGTTGTCTATTCTGACCTGCATACCAAATCTGCCTTTTGCCCAACTTGTGATTGAACTGGAGAATCTTAGACATCCCATTTTGATTTTTAAAACTCTAAAATGTACCACATACCTTGCCAATTAGTAACAATGCCTACTTATACTGTTTTCAGTTTGAATTTGCATGACTTAATTTTTCATCCATTAGACTTCATGTGCTAAGGGCCTATCAAACATCTTCTCCCTGTATAGGTATATAAAAACTGCACTCAAGCTGCCGCTTAACTTTGTATTCAATAAACTGATTGTGCTGCTGTAGCCTCTTGCATTGTATTTCCTGGACAAGAAGTTAGTCTTGTTGCTCTTCTAAGCCTGCTCCAAATTATCATTTTTGAAGCATAGACGCTATAGTCCAGGAAGTCATGTTGTCTACAGCAGCCTGTTTACCCTGTCACAGTATCACACTAGAAGCTCATGTTTGGTTTATGTACAGTGGCTCCTATATCCTTAACTGAGCCGCTGTTTTTAAGAGTACAGTTCCCTACCTTGTAAATACTATGTTCTCTATTCCTATAGGTAAAGCTCTTTCATTTAACTCTATTAAAACGTGTTTGAGTCACATCACTCTGTAGCAGTGACTTGTCATCCTCATTATTTACTTCTGTATCATGTATGAACTTTTTATCAGTAACTATAATATATACCAGGTCACTGATTAAAACTGTAAATAGTAGTGGGTTGACAACACATCCTTAGGGGGAAATCACATTAGAAAGGACTACCTGTTGATTCCTAGTAACAATTGTTTGGTCAGTGAGCCCCTTCTTTTCCATCACTATTAAGTGTTCCACAGTGATGTACAGGGAGAACATTCTCACTTGCATACAGAACAATAATTATTCTGATAAGTTTATATGGCCAAAGATATTTTTTAAAAAGTACATGTAGCGAGAGGTAAAAATCTTTCTAAATATTTTAAGGAAAAAATATTAAAAATAAATGTTTAACAAAGCTTAACCCTTATAGTAGAAGAGAGGCAACCAGCACCACCTCTATGAAAGATAAATACCCAAGGAAGTAGCAGAAAGGGATGGGGACATTAAGGATTAATGGGAAGAAGTTTTATAAAGAAACCTTAGTATGGCTTTCAGGATAGACTTCCAAGCAAAAACTCTAAGGAAAGATGCAATAACCACCATAGAGCCTCTGTTACGTTTTAAAGATTGGCTTTGCTGTAGCCACTGGTAGGAAGTTATGGAGTTGTTGCAAGACATCTCCCAGAACCTATTTGTTGTGTGGTGGCTTCTCATACCCACCTTCCC